GTATTACGTTATTGGTTCAGAAATGTTATTACACTATTGGCAGGTTATATTATCTGCTTGTATTACATTGAAAACTTGAAACATGATTATGTTACTGGCAGATATTACATTATCCGCGGTTATTACATCATTGGCTGCTACATACACCTGAATTGAAAATGGACAAATGGAGATATGGTTGTGTGCCACAGATATGGGAAACAATAAAATGTCTGAAAATGGAAAGAAAATGAATGAAAATTGTCTTAAGGCTGATGTGTGGCCTACCAGAACCAGGATCCATGCTGGTCTGATTTCCAGTGATGTGGTGCCAGTAGGCGGATCGGGGCAGTATGGCAGTGGGGGTACAGGGGTAGGAGCCAGGCTCTGAACTCTTGGACATCAACTGGGAGTCATATACATACATCATCAGGTATTTTAAAAAGTACTTTCAAATATTATCAAGACAGTGATACTTCAGTATTAAAAGTAACAGTTCCTCATTTACAGATTCTTTTTACCTCTGAATACTGTGTATTAAACTGTAATGGTGCTCCTGAACAGTAAGATATGACATTTTTAATGTTTTGATTTTAAGACAGTTTTCTATATCTTCTATATCTATAGCTTTGTAATCCTTCTGATCATAGCGGCACTAACATTTAGCTCTGTTTTGTTCTTCACCATCTCCTGAGAAATTGTTTTAGCTGTTAAATCCTCCTTGTTCCCCAGCTAACTGTGAATGTTTTTAGAGGTGTATAATATCCACAGCATCATTGACTCTGTAGAGCCACTTTCAAGTGACCCATATTAATATTAACAATTTTTAAATACAAAGTTATTGATGATTGCATCTTATACCTAAAACTTAAGTTTATATTGGACACATTTTGCCTCTACATGATACATGATGATGGTTTCTGCACCGGACAGTGGGGATACATTTGAAACTTCAACTTGAAATCAGCCATGCTCTCACCCTGCTGTTCTTCTCCATCTCCAGCAGGACCTTCTTGTGCTGCTCAGCGATGGCCAGTGTTGAGGAGTGAACCCTCTGGTAGATTTGCTCTCCCTCTCTGGTCTGGAAGGTGTAGAGACCTTCACCACTGTCACACATCCTACACACAAAAAAGCACATCTGTATGAAGCTGGAGTATAGAACAAGCACGAGCTGCCACATTGCCCAGCACAGTATTAAAGAGGATTGTCTCGGCAGTGTGGAGAGCTGCAGTAAGGTGTACCTCACTGCCTTCACGGTTCCCTCAAACCTAATTGACACTAATAGAATCTGCTGAGTGTGGCATTTCAGGGAGTGGTTCATCAATTCATCTGAGAGCTGTTTCATGGTCAATATTGCAGTGTCCAAAAACAACGTAAAAATGAATGTGAAACCGAGGCCTCACTGGATTTATGTGAGATGATTTAACACTGCATTTGCTGGTCAGTAAATTTAATCCAATCTAGAGTGTGGATGTGGGTAATTTCATCCTCAACACCATGAATAATTACAGCCACATACTTTCTTTGGTTGTCCTCTAATCTTCAAATAGATATTGTTTCCACATTTTGAACTTGTGTTTTAAAATGGATCAGATCAACCATAATTTCACCACTTGTTTGTTCAACAACATGCAGACACCAACATACAGGTGTATTTGGGAACCTAGACAGAAGTGGAGCCTGCAGGAGAGCAACACCTCATTGGATTAATGCAACGCTGAAGAACAATGAAAAATGACGATTCTTAGACAGCCTCTTTTTCTCTGATCCCCAAGTGAATTGATGTATGTTTAAACTTAACAGATATCATTGTTTCATGTCTGTGTGCTCAGATCTGACAACTCATTTACATCAACAATGTCAGCCATGAATGATTTAAAATATCTGTTTCTATTCGGTCTTAGATAATGCACATCACTGTGTTCATACTGTGGGCTTCATCACAAATCTTTGCATAATGAAATGCAAACTAGCTATAAACTAGCTGCAAATACATTGATTAGAAATTAGACTTGTGATGCAGTACAATACAGTCACAGCCAGAGGGCTCTCTTGCTATTTTGTCTTGCCTCTCATACACACACACACACACACACACAC